AAAGAATCGCCCATCATACGCACACGGGGAAAAAGAGAGAGAGAGAGAGAGATCTGAGGTTGTTTTCTCTCACTCGGGGGCGTCCTTTTTCTTTCACTTTAGTTTTTTTTATTTTTATTTTTCTTGTTTTTTTTTTATTTGGAAAAATTTTGGATTTTCAAAATTTGTTTATTTTAAGATAGTGTAGGTTTTACTTTCCTTGATTTTTGGATGATTTGAAGAATCCGACGACATTTTTCAAGGTTATGGATGTTGATTTGATTTTACTCTCTACTAACTACCCCATTACATAGTTATCTTTATTTATTTTCCAAACGATAAATATATTAATAACTAAAAAACTCAAACGAGTACAATAGAAGTGTCAATTGACACACAGTAACCAGAAAAACTGGACTTACCCTCTCAAAAACACATATGTGTCCGAGAGGCACAACCTCCATCAAGGTGTCTTCCCCACCCACACAAAAACCAACCTCCATAAGGAGACTAGAACTCCATAAAGGAGACAAGAAGCCATATGCAGCTGGACTTTACCGAACTAAAAAAAACTAAACTATAAAAAACACACACTTAATATACACAACTAGAGTAAAACCTCCCCTACCCGAACAAACAAACCACACAACCACCTAAACTGACAACCAAGACGCACCCACAATACCAAACCCCAAACGAATAACATATCTTGACTCCAAACTCGAAAACTGCGGACACTCAAACTACCTAGACGAATTATCATTCTAGATCTGGACCCGAAGAAGCTCGGTACTGCAGGAAGATGGGGAAGACGCCAAGATAAATCCGGAGGCCTCGAAGCAAAGACCCAAGGAGGCACCTTACCATACGGCCGAGCGGCCCGACTCGGTCAGGCAAACCGGCGGACAGCCGGGACCACTAGACACCAAGTCGCAAGCCGACACTCCTACAAGGTGAAAAGGTAAAGCACGCGGGCAAAGCACCGGCATATCGACGGACTCCCGCCGTTGAGCGGAGGCGGTGGCTGAACAAGCAATCAGCGACCACTACCGGAGCTAGGGTAAAAAAGTCGGGGAGACGAGAACCGACGCCAACAGAATTCCCACCGGGCTCCGGGAGGGGCATAGAAGATGGCCCCGCCTACCGCCGCGACTCGGCCAAGCCAGTGAAGAAGGCCGGCAGTGGCTGTTGCCGGCTAGGTGGGGCAGATTTGATTTTTTTCTTTCTGCCGAGAGGAAAAAAGTAGTGAGAGAAAAAAATTTATGCCGACTATGTTATGTAGTCGTACATGGTTATCTTTATAAATGAAAACAAAAATTAATGAAAAAAATTTATTTACATGGTTATCTTTATAAATGAAAAAAATTAGAAATATGAAGAAGATTTTCACACCCATGTTGTCTCATCTCTCTCCGGCCTAGAAAGAAAAAAACCAGGTTTGTTAAATTTCCAACGCGTCCTGCATCAGCAAGCCACATGTCACGCCCTTGTTCCTCGAATGATGGATGCGTGCGGCCTTAGTCCCTTGTGCACCCTTCGCAGCTAGCTAAGTCAGCTTCATCGTGCTCAGATTGTGTGTGCTCGGTGTGTGCAAGTACTTTGGCTAGAGAATATGGAAAAGGATTCGAGAGAGTGAGATTAGGGAAAATGCTTGTACTATTCACTCAAACTTTGTACAAGAGAGTTTTGATGTTGCTTGGATGGTTTACAAATGAGGGGGTCTCTCCTATTTATAGGCAACACCTCCTCTAAGGAATGATCTAGATCCTACAAGGGTCTTAGGTCTTCTAGACCCTTCCACAAAATCCTACTTCTTGCACACATGTCCTAGAACCTTCTCATGATCCTTGTCCTACCTACAAACCTCTACAAGGTTCTAGGCTCTTCTTGTCCCTACTACAAGTATCTACACAATTTTGGAGCCTTCTAGAAGCTTCTAGACAAAACAAGCCCTTGTTTAAGTCATCTATGTACAATACCTAAGCTTGAGGCGAACTATTCATCAAAAGGATGAATAGGCCCCATCCGCGGGCAATCTCCCTTCGTGCATGCGGGTCTACTTGGGTCGGGATGGGTCTTGGTGGCGTGGAGCGTTACATTCTCTCCCACTTATTGTGGCGGCATCCTCGTCGCCTCGTAATTCTCGAGGATATCTCGAAATTGCCATAAGTCCTTGAATTCCCAAGATGCTTCAGACACGGGGAGGTCTTTCCAGTTAATTAAGTATCTATTCTTCGGCGGTATCCCTCGTCGCTGTAACACGTCGGATGTGAGCACTTCGTCCACTTCCTTGTCAAAAGACTTGGTCGTGAGCGGCGGTGCCCTTTGTGATAACCCTCGGCTTGGGTCTTCCGCATCGTCTTTATAAGGCTTCAACATGCTCACGTGGAATACTGGATGAATTTTAAGTGTTGGAGGTAGATCAACCATGTATGCCACGTTGTCTATCTTCTTAATCACCGAGAACGATCCCTCGTACTTTCGTACCAGTCCCTTGTGCAAGCTTTGAAAGGTCTTGAATTGTCGAGGCAACGACTTCACAAGGATTAGATTCGCTTGGGAGAACTCTTGAGGACGCGCGCCTCTTCTTGTCAGCCCATTTCTTCGTTCCTCTACAGGCCCTTTCTAAGTATGACCGTGTTAGGTCCACCTGTTCCTCCCAAGTCTTGACCACCTTCTCGACCCCGGGGCTCTTCCCATCCTTCGTAGGTAGAGAAATTGTTGCGGTGTTAGTTGTTGTTGCCCTGTGACCACCTCAAGGGCTTCGCTCAGTTGATTCACTCTTCTGCAAGTTATAAGAAAATTGGGCAACATAGAGCAACTTGGCCCAGTCCCTTTGGTTGGCACTTACAAAGTGCCTTAAGTAGTACTCAAGTAGATTCTAAACAAGGAAGGAGTCTTGATTCTAATCTTCAATAAATTCGTCCTTTCTTTTCCTTCCATATATACAGATTCTACGAGTTCCATGCACGAGAGAATCGTACCAAAATAGCAAACACAAATAAGATCTTGCATATCTTAAATATAAACAAATCGACCATCTATAACAAGAAGATCCTCCCTTTTTTATTTTGTTTTGCTTGAAAGAATAAAACTTCAAGATATTATTTTTAACTCATTGCCAAAAATAAATATTTCACCATCTTTCAATATTCCATAGCTCTAAAACATACCATAATTATATTGTAACCTCTAATTAAATCACCCTAAACATATTTATCATAACTATTGGCGATCCATTGTCAACAAATCATTCTGTTACTTACTTGCATGTACACTTTAAAAAACTGTTCCATTAATTGTGGTTGACTCTCGAACGACAACCTGAGGTAAGAGCATCCGATGGAAAGGTGTCCATTTTGTGACATGGAGAAAAGAAAATAAAAAATTATGTCTCCAATGGTTAATGTCACTTGTGGTGTCATTTGTAATGTGTAAAATTATAATTGGTTAGAGAAGAGAGATAAATTGAATAAATAATATTATATAATAGAATTAGTTCTTTAGAACGACTTCTACGTCTAGAAAGTCTTCTAGACATTTTTCACGACATGTGAAATTATTTGTGGCATGTTGCAATAAAATTGAGCAATAAAAAAATCATTGGAAATGCTCTAAAGCTAGTTGAGAGGGGAAGAAAAGTGATTCCATGTGTTTAAAGTGAATTTTCAATGGATTTGAAGTTTAGAATTTGAGATATTTGATCAAAATGGATTTTGCATGGATATAGGTGATTTTGTGAGTATATCTTCTTTTATCATTTTTTTTTTAAATTTTGTGAAATTTGGTTTGGATATTTTTGTAATCTGTTTTCTTATCTATATTTTTAGTGTGAAGAAGTCTGTAATCATACAATCATGTTCTCATATTTATGATATATTATCTATCTGGTGTTACCTCTTGAATATAAATCAGATATATATGAAAAATATGTGATTTCTTTTTAATTTGGCGAACCGTCGGCTCAGGGCCGAGCTAGCGATTCAAACGATTCAGCCAAATCTTGACCGTTGGATCTCAACAATGTCTATTCAACTATCGACTATTTGATTGTTGGATATCCAGGCTTGCCGATTTGGTTTCGGTCCTAGCTCAGAACCGGCGAAAAAAATAATAGTTTGCTTAAATAATTAAACTTTTGAAAATTTGGAAAAACGCACTGGTTAGCCCGGTCGGTTCCAGTTCAAAATCGGACCCTGAACCTGAACCTGCTCGGATCAAACAATGGCCGGTTCGTGGACCGTGTTCGACGGTCCGAGTCTGTTCCGTAACCCGTCCTTAAACAGTAGAAAAATGACATAATTATCATCTATCATTATAGTGAAAGATAATTATTATAATAACGAATTCATAAAATAAAAACAATTTTCTACAAGCAGTAGCCATGTGTTCGTATGGCCATGCTCGTGCCCTCTGGTAAAGATAATCGAAAATGAGACAAAAGAGTCCTTAAAGCAGCAAAAGTTAATTAATGAGTGTACAAAAATAAAACAATTCTTTTTCAAATTTTTTCCTTTTTTTTTTCTTAATAAAAGCATAATTACTTTCCTGCTTTTATCTTCAATTTTCATATCGTATTTTTTACCCTTTTGGGTCTCTGTATCATCCTGTTAGTCAAACTTGTATAAATCCCTGTATTTCTATTCATAGAAATATAAACAGCTTTTTTGGCTCCAGTACATAGTTTTTAAACCCGGCCCAGCAATCGACCCGGGTAAGTCGGGTTGGCCGGATTTTGACCGGTTTCATTATTACCCGGTCCAAATAACCTACTCGGACCGATTCAAGCTCCGGGTCGACCCACCAAACCGGTCCGGGTTGAAAAACAATGCTCGAGTATGTAATTTAGAAATACTTTGGGCTGGTTTACAGTAAATATCTTTCCTTTTTCTTTAGGGAAAGTTTGAAGCACATGCTTTCAAAATCACAAATTCAATTAAAAATATCAGAAAAAAAGGGGATTGAAATTGATAATAAAGGGAAAAAAAAGGACAAAATGTAAAATATTCAAACTATAGATGTAAGGAGTTAATTCAACTAAAAGTCTGTTACATGATGATAGTGAACAATGTGAGGTCCACTCCACAGCACACAGCAAAATAAAAGGAGAGAGGGTACAAATTACATAATGAACAAAACAGAGAAAACAATAATAATACCCCACTCCATTTCAAATTAGTTCATATGTCCTAAGGCTTTCTTTCAAGCCATGCATTTATGTATAGTTGTAACCAGTATGGTATTTGATGATTATGATGATACTAATAATATCAAGATATAACATCTTTCGACCTGTCGTCGTGGCCGGTGGGTATAGTAACGATCTTCGGCCAAACAGCTATTCGAACTTTTTGTCTTCCTTGTATCAATGTAGTACACAAAACTTTCTGCATCAGCCACCAACCGAAGAAAGAGCCACATTATCGAAAACCGAATTAAAGCCAATCGATTCACGTCATAAAACACTTATATCTATTAACTTTATGGGATCGTTACAAAATTACCGAGGTTTGTAGTACCTACAAGCACGATAAGTGGTGTCGTGGAAATTGAAGTATTCACGACGTAAAATTTTTTTTTTTAAAGAATCAAAAGGGTATTTTTTTGTAATTACCACATCTCAAGGGCAGATTTTGTAATTATCCCAAAGTATATGTCGGACAGAGCTCCATACCAAAAGGTAATAAGCGAAAAAAATTCCTCCTTCCTAGCCATGAAAAACCTCTTATGCCTTCTACATTTCAACGCCTTCTTGCCCGGAAGAAAACCTAAAAGACAATAATCAATTACTAAAATAAAACTAAGATTTCATTGAATGGTGAGAAGTCGATTGCAGATTATAATAGGTAATACAGAAAGCAATAGGATTACCTAGGCATTTGAAGGTAACACGATTTGAGAGAAGCTATGGTGAGGGGTGAGCTGCTCGAGAGAAGGTCATTGCTTGAGGACGAAACTTGTACATTGTCATTGGCTACGGGCAGAGGCTGTGAGGAAACAGACGAGTGGTTTTCAGCAGCAGATATCTTAGGCGAAGCAAATAGATTATCCGGGAGCACGTGCTCCAAGCTGTAAATTCACGCCATACATGATAGAGGCACACAGGAGAGGTAAAATTAGTAAAAATAAGGAACATTTAAATAATTTGTTGAGGATAAATAAGGGGGGATGATTGCTTTCAACACATAATTACAAAAGAAAAAAGAATAAATGCTGAAGGAAAATTTTATTTGAAGTTATAAAATAGCAGCAGTTAACTTGTATTGAGTGATTTATTCATTGACATAATCGTAATTTACAAGTCGAGCGTTTTCTCTGAAGAAAAAACACAAATACCTTTCCTGGAATTCCGATTCATCACTATTCTCCCGATTCAGGATATCTCCACCATCAATACTGTTGTCGGCAAAAAAATTGTGACCTTCAAGCACATTCTTCTCATCAGCTTCAATGGGTGCTTCTTTGCAGCCATCAAATTCTGCAAATATCAGTCCAAGGTTAATTTAGACATATATATAATGAATTTAAGGCGCACACTATCAAGTGCTGCTAACCTTCTGAATTTTCTTGATTAATGGAGCCAGAGGAATTTCTGAGATGATGATTCATCAGCAACTGAGAGTGTCCCGGGGAGGAATCCGGGATGCTAGAGGAGAAGCTTGGCAGATAACTGAAATTATGGCTCTCGCTTTTCGGGTCCATCAGTTGTAAATTCATCATTCTTCGACCCTGGAGTTCAATGGCCTGCTGCATTTCTGCCTCATGCTCCAATTTTCTCCTCAGCATCATCTCTCGTGGGCTTAATAACATTCTAGGCCCTGAATATTTTATGTTTTAATGTTATGCAGAAAGTAAGAAAAATAAGCAAATAAACTCATTTAAATCATCAAATACAAAACAGCCAAACCATGTGAGCTACATTACCAAAGGGTGTGTCAAAGTGTTCGCCAGAATCAAGTCCAGATGGGCTTAAGCACTGTTGCAAATGTTGTTTCCTACAAATGGTTTCAGTCAAAATAATTCACATAAACATCATGAACTGAATCTTAGTAAGATCATCATGAACTACTATAAAGATATTCAAGAAATAGTACTTCTCTTTGTATTTGCCCTTCTCCTTGTAAGGTTTGACAAGAACACGAGAATCACAAACAAAATGAGGGTTCCCTTTGGCCAAAATGAGCTTAACGGTCTCCGGGTACACAAATGTCACGAACCCAAACATTCTTTTCTGCTGATACGGAATCCTTACATCTTGCACAGGTCCAAACATGCTTCAAACCACGGCAATAGATAAATGTATGATCAGTTGTCATTCTATATAGAATTTTGCAAGAAAGTTGAAGTTACGGTTCGATTTCAATCACCCACTTAAAGTAACTAGAAACATCTTCTTCCTTGAATGTGCTATCAGCCGGGAACGTTAAGTAAATTTGACGGGCGCACGAGTTGGCGCTAGAACTCAATCCGAACGGTGAAAAATCACTCCTGTCACGTTAAGAACCCATTGAATCAATGAAATTTTACTAAAGCAGCATCACTCACTAGTGATTACAATCGCACAAAGCATGATAAAATGAAAAAAAAATCATGATCTTTACCCACAAGGCCACAATGACAGATTAAAAGAAGGAAAAAAAGGGCCCTTTTAACATTACTGCACATATATAATTACCTTGGATTCTCATTTATGGCGTCCATGCATTTGTTGTAGGAGAAAGGACGGTGGCCACCAGAGGCCATGAACGCAAACCTCTGCTGCTGAAGGGCTTTCAGCCTCAGCAGCTCTTCAAACCCGGAAACACTCTTCCCGGGCGACCCGAGATCGACCGGGTCGACCCCGCCACCCGATTCTCCCTGCAAGAACTTGCTCTCGCCACCATTCTTGCCGAAACCTCTCGTAAAGTTCATGCAAGGCCTCCACAGACCCCCTTCGGAGATAAACGCGGCGTCGTTCACCGAATAACTCCTCTTGTGAAACGGGTGCGGCTGAGGGGAAGACGAACCGCCGGCAGCGTCCTCGCCGTACGGGAAAACCAGAGAATCGCTCCTCCCGCCGGGGCTCATCACCGGGTCCGCCGCTGCCGGGTTATCGATAAACGGGAACCGGTAATCGTAGCCGAATTCGTCGTCCGGCCAGGCCCTGCTCCTCGGGAAAGCTCCGGCGGCCGGCGAGGGCGGGTTGCTCAGATGGAACCCGCCGCTGTTCGGCACCACCAGTCCCCGCGGCGAATGCTGGAGGAAAGGGCTGCTTGGCACGGCTGGGCGGGAGAAAGGGGGCGGAGGGTTTGAAGAGGGGCTGTTCGGAGAGAGCCCCAAACGGGCCTTGGCTTGGCCGATGTAAGACAGCAGAAGCGGGTCCGGGCTGAAAGCCAGCCGTATCATCTCCTTTTCGCCTTGGTCCTGTATCAGAATGTAGCCCATGATTTTCGAAGAGTTCTCCGGATCTAGAGCTTGGATCCTCGACATCACTGTCTTAGTAGCTTCGTAAGCATCCATGGCTGCCGGCGATAAGTGTGTCTGAACTATGTGTTTCCCGGTGAGATAAAGTTTGCTCCTTTTTCCCCCCTCTCTCACAGAGGAAGAAATCAAGAAAGTGAGTGAGTGAGTAGGGTTTTAAAGAGAGTTTGATGGAAGGCCAAAAACCTCTTTTTTGAAAAAAGAGAGAGAGGAAAGAACAAGAATTGTTTGAAGGGTGATGTGATTTTTAGTGGATGGGTATGTGTGAGAGACTTTAATTATTATTTTTTTCTTGGGAACCTCTCTAATGAAGGGGGGATGGTTAGAATTTTACTCATGATATGCCAAAAAAGATTTGAATAAGTTGGTGCTTACTCACTCTCTATTGTACAAATCTCACTTTTCTTGTGTAGATTACAAATAATTGTGGGGTCATTATGAAAGAGAAAAAAATTAAAGTATAGCATTGCATTAATATCTCATAGACAAAAAAAAGGGAACAAAAGATGTGTGTGTGTTTTTTTTTTTCATTTTCTTCCACACAGACTCGGCGCACGGGCACGCACTCGTGGTTCTGCTCCAACAATCGGGCGAGAGTCGAACACCTGTGCGGGACGACGATACGCGTTACGAATTAATTCTATGACGTCTAAAAATTATTTAAACGGTAACAGGATTCGGCCAATTAAAGTTTAAACTCGGATCTAGAATTTATCCGGTTATGAACATCAAATAAAACTAAGGTTTGTGTAAAACTTATGTATATTTATATTTTTTTTTGTATGTGGAGTTGAGAGTGATGGGACATGAGGGAGTTGGATTGCAGTGCAGGCGGTCAAAGTTTTGGATTTGGGAGAAAAATATGAGTCAATTTGTGGCTTATGAGGTGGTTTGTGTGGTGGGGGGGTGTGGGGTGTGGTGTGGGGTCACACAAAACTTGGAACCCTGCAGTCTTTGGGTAATGTGCAAAAACTTTTCCCTCTTTAATAAAAACTCTCTCTCCTCTCTCTTTGAATATTTAAATATTATTATGTCAATATATTTCTGTAAATGGTTTTATGTAATCTGACAGAGTACTACTGAGCAGTGAGTGTGGATTTTTCAGATCTCTAAACAGGAAATGTCCGTGTGTCCACTATCTTTTTTTATTGCAGTGTAAAATTATGCAGCATATTTGAACTCACGAGGTTGTTCGGGTTATATATACGTGAAGACGAGATTGTCATTGCGTATTTGAATAAATATGATGGTCTTCGGGTTTAGCCTTTTTATTTTTCGCTTTTATTAGTACTCTTTTAGTTCTTTTATTTAGTAAACTTATTAGGAAAATAAATATTTGGCAGTAATAAGTTAACTAGTACAACGCCTGTGTATTACACGGGTGCTTGTTAATAATTTTTTCATTAAAATTTAAAATTAATGAGAAAAAGTAGGTGAAAATTTAAATAACTTTATAAATATATATATATTAGTATATATTTAGTATGACACTTTTTATTTGTGTGACTTACTTGTGTTATATTATAATAATTTATTTATTTTATATATACAATATGAATGTCAAATCGAAGATCATGAAAAGATGATTAATTTGATATATTATATATGTAAAACCAATAACAAATACAAAAGTTATCAACTTTTAAAATATATTTTTAATTCAATAGCTAATTGAAGGAAACAAATCAAAAGTCAGAGATATATTAGTCATTGTAAAATTATAAAGAATTAAAAGGTTATATTAGTACAAGTGACTAGTGTGTATCCCGTGCGATGCACGGACTGTATAAATTTGAAGAATATATATTTTGACATGCATTAAGATCGAAATAATTATAACACATAGGAACAGTACTATTGAATCATAAAATGTTCGTCAAGAAAAATCATATATTATTAAAAACCTCCATGTACACAATATTATGAACTTGATTATTGGAAACTCGTTTGATTATTAGTATTATTAGTACATCTTGACTGTTAAAAAAGATGTTTGAGGAATAATACTTAATTCAGGTTCATCATCACTTGTGAGATTAATTAAGACTGTATATCCTCCAGCACTCGCTTTTGCAAAAATGTTGGTGTTATGTTGAGCAGTCAAATTTGATATCAGACCATAGGATGATTTGTTGGAATAGAGATTTTTCGACGACTTACGTGACTCTATAGTTCCAAAAACTACAATAAAAAAAATACAACAGAGTGATGCACAAATTTGATAATCAATTAAAGTATAGGCAAAATATATTGTGTAAAGTAAATAATAAATTATTTACCATTTGTGACATCAGTTAATGGCATCCTTTGTGGAGTATGCAACGTATCATGAGTATTTTGACATTTATTTGGTGCACCATACATAACTGTAGAATAATGATACATTCTTTTTTTCTTAAAAAAACATTCAAATAAAATTTATGTAAATTTACAAAAGTTGAAACAAACAAAAATATTTATCAGAAATTTATATAATATACAATTGTGCATATGACTTAAAAGATACTCCTATAAAACATATTTTTTTCTGTTAAACACATATAATATATAAAGTATTTATATTCATGTGATATTAATTAATTTTCTCTGTATATATGGTATGTTTATTTATTTCATGAACTAAAAATATATATGTGTTAAAGTATTGACAAAAGTAAAATTTATAAATTAGATAACATAATCAAAAATTTTATGGAACCATCAAATGGTTTTCTTATGGAGCCATCAATCACTTAATGTTTTGACACATGTCCAAAGTGCATTTAATGTAGGACACGTGTCAATACACTATTTGTGAATAACTGTGAATGACTCCAAAAGTCGAGCCATCCGATGGCTCCATAGCAAAATTGATAACATAATATATGTGTTCAATATTAATGTTATATATCTATCATTTCGAAAAAAAATAATTAATGATATATTATAAGTAATATAATTGGGTTAATTTATGAAACAATTAAATATATTTATATTTATATTGGCCAAAGTAATACAATAAACTTATAATTAAAGTCAACCCATTACCATTGGTGTAAAGTCGGGCTTATTAATTTTTTTTTTTTATTTTTTCCCTCCAAACTGGGCCTAAAGCAAACTAAATCCCGATATGACAGTTAATATTAGTCAAACAAAAACTAACGGTCTGAAATGAATAAAACTTGATATAAAAGAATTAAAAAAACCCCGATATTTTAGGGCTAGTCATTTGTTCTGTTAGCTTCTTCTCACTTCTCTCTCCCACTGCTTCATCTTTCTCAACCCTTAAACCGACCTTCGTTTCATTTTTATTTTATTTTTTTTGTTATAGTTTTGAATGTACTCAGCTCATGATAATCGGTTTTTCTGAGAATCTATGTCGAATACGACCTGATCCATATTTTTCTGAGAATCTCAGTCGAATATGACCTGATTAATTTGTATGACACACGGGATTCGAAACCAAATTGAATGATCTGAGGTCTTTCATTTTTATTTTTTTATTCAGGATTATTGTATAAAAATATTA